TGCTTGGTTGCTTGCTTGCTTGGTTGCTTGCTTGCTTGCTTGGTTGCTTGCTTGCTTGCTTGCTTGCTTGCTTGCTTGGTTGCTTGCTTGCTTGCTTGCTTGCTTGCTTGCTTGCTTGCTTGTTGTGTTTGTGTGTTTGCTTGCTTGCTCGCTTGCTTGTTTGTTTGGTTGTTTTTTTTTGCCTGTTTGAGGGTATGTTCGTCTGTTTGGTCTTTCGTTAGGTTGACTGCTTGGTTCTCTGTGTGTGTGTGTGTGTGTGTTTGTGTTTTTGCTGGCTGCTTGCTTGCTTGCTTGGCTTGGCTTGGCTTGGCTTGGTTTGGTTAGGGTAGGGAGGGTAGGGTTGGGTGGTTGGTTGGTTGCGCTTTATTGTTTTTGTTGTCGGCGGTGGTGGCGGTGGCTGATAGCAACTAATGAACTAATGACTAGTAACTGGATTGGACACCAACATTATGCGGTTACTTGCTAGCCATACCATGCACCGGCTTCTTCTCCTAAGTTGTCAACATAACCGACAATTCCCTCAAACCTCTCGTTCAAGGGTCTTGAAAAAGTGCACACAGACATACAAGCTGTGTAACACTCTAGAACAGCTACAACGACAAGGTGTTTGCTTAGGTTTTCGAAATCTTTCAAAGCTCTTAGAGATGTCGCTCCAAGCTTTCTACTGGCCGGGAGCCTTCCAAAGTTTCCACAACTTTGAATCTCGAAAAGCTCGAAAAGTTCCCACAAATCCAAAACTTTCAAAGTTCAAAAATCTGAAAATCGCAAAACCACCCCGAATGTTAAAGATATCCAAAGCATCAGCCGGCGCATCGCAAAACAGATCTAGTATTTTAGGGTGGTAACGGTCGGAAGTTTTTGTGAATTTGGGGAATTCTTGGAAGTTTAGGATTGTTTGGAATTTAAGACATATGTGTCTTGGGAATTCCGGAAATGCTGGTACTGGTACATCTTGGTTCCGGCGTGACATCTGGCAGGCTTTGATGTGGGTCTTGGTCTTGGGTGGGTTTCATCCGTATATACATACATACATACATACATACATGCATGCATGCATGCATGCATGCATGCATGCATGCATGCATACATACACAATAATAAGGCCATACGTACATACATACATACATACGTACATACAGACAGACAGACAGACAGACAGACATACTTACCTTACATTACATTACCTTACCTTACCTTACGTTACATTACATTACACTACATTACAATACACTACACTACATTACATTACATTACGTTGCATTACATGCCATAACATATGTATGTATATATATATACATGTGTATATATATAGGAAGTAAAAATGCACAGAAACTTCAAGAGACCAGACCTTGACCGGCCATATTTCGTTCTTCGCTTGGGCCCTGTGCCTCGGCAGGCGGCAGCATTGACACGGAGGGCACCACGTCTTGGCGGTCCGGAAAGACCATGAACTGAAGACCTCCTCGGTTTTGTAAGGTTTTTGGTTGCCTCCTGCATTGCTCAACCAGTCGCTAGGCAGGGGTTTCGGCACACTCGGACCAGCCAGGTATTGCAAGGTTCAGGGTTGAGGGTTTGAACGCTCACACTGTGGTTTTGAAAGCTCTGTACCGGAAGCCTACTTGAGGCATACCGCCCAGACAGAGGGAGCAAAAACGCTGACACGTTCTTGGTTTGGGTTTCAGGTTCGCTTTGCACTGGACGGTCCAAAATGTGGAAGTGCACTGGGTCCATCAACGCCGCAAGCCGTGCCGGTTCAGGGCATAGGGTAGAGGATGGTTGAGGCTTGAGAGGGGCCATTTCATGCCTCGTCGCGTGCCTCATGTGCAAAGGGGAAGGTGCAAAGCCAAAGAAGAAAGGTCCGCAGCCATGCGACAGATGCCTCAGTCGGCCTCACGGTGTCACAGGGACAGGGACGAGCGTGTCCAAAGTAGATGAGGTGCATGCTTGATTATGCTTGATTACACCTCTCGACTCTGATGCCTGATGAAGATCAGGGTGGGCTTCACCAAGAAGGCTGCATACAACTCATCCGCCAAATACAGGTCCGCTTTGCCAGGAGCAAGGCAAAAGTGCTGACAAGACTCCCGATATCTGGGAGGGTCCAGTTGGCCGAGAGCTGCCGAGGGCAGCCAGTGAAAGGGGTCTTCAAGGAAGACCACATGGAAATCGAACCACAACACCGGCAAATCAAGCTGGAGCCCCGTGTAAATGGAGAGATACTGGGCCCTCTGCTGAAATCGCGACAGAAATGGCAGACAGGGAGACCAATCCTCTGGCATCGTAGACCGCGCCGCGTAGACTTCTACAATCTTGGAGCATGACTCCGTGACATTCGGCTCGAGCGGCACAATGACGAGAGGAGCCAAGTAGCCCATCTTGTCGGCATGCTTGAACAGGTCCAAAAGGTGACCCACTCTCTGATGTGGCAAACCTGCACGGAAGCAAGAGGGCACGGATTTGGAACACGAGCGAGGTGCCCCTGCGGGTTTACCAACCTACGCACCCCAGCAAACCACACATTGGTTCAGGCACAGATATCTGCGGCCTGTCAGCACCACCACGGATGTGCCGTGTGCCCTCTGGCTGCGCTCAGCAGCGCTCCGCAGTGTTTTCGCGGTACGCGTCCAGACATTCGAGCGCATAGCGGCGCCACTAACCTGAAGCACTCCCCTAGCATCTAGAAAGCTCCAATTGCAAGGGATTTTGGAAAACGACCCAGTGCTGCAACTGAACTCACTTACTGTACTTAGACCCGCCACAGCTGGAAGCAGTCTGAACTGAGACCTGGCCCGGCCTGGCCTCCAAGTCCTCCGGAGAGAGCTGCAGATCGTGGAAGGTTCTCTTCATGAGGCCTCAGGACACTTTCCTCTATGCCACTGTTTTGAGATGGTACTGGTACATACTGGTACAAGGTACCATTTCAATTTTGTGCGTATGACTGAAGTGAACTAGAGCCACATGCGGGTGAAAGCTGGCCAATGATGTCAAGCTTCTCATCGCATGCAAAACCTGGCACGACAGGCATGTAGTTTGCAAAGGGCACTTTTCCCCACTCCGCACTGCATGGGCACTTTGATGGACGGGGTTGCGTATCAAACGTTGGTGTTGCAAAGAGCATGTTTCTGTCCAGTCTTTGTTGCCGAAGGTGCAGGTAAGAAAATGTGAAGGATGCAGCGCTCCTTGCATGCTGTGATGCGAGAGCAGCCTTCCGAATGGATCGGGGAGCAAGGTGGGGGGGAGGGCGGGCCCCACCCCCCCCCCCCCCCCCCCCGGGTGCTGACACGTAGATGCCTGATGTCTCAGGCCCTGCTCCCCAAACTTGTTGTCGACCCCAAACCAAATCTGTAAACAGCATCCCCGCAAGCCCCAAACAAGCCAGCTTTCGTGATACGAGTGTCCTGATTGTGAAAAATGTGTATCTCCAAACAACACAGTCATGCTGGTCGTCTGATCCTCCTCAAACCTCCACCAAGACTGCTGGCCATCTGCACCTCAAGCCCCAACCCAACCCCCGCGCCCGCCTTGAAGATCGGCCAGGGCGACTCCAAGATTCCTTCCAATGAGGCCATCGCCTGGGGACGGCAGCGGCATTACGGGAGAAACACGAAGTCGCGAAGGCTCGTGATGGCCAGTGGCGGACTCTGCCGTCTCGATCGCGCGCTGGACGATCCGGTACCTCAGGAACGTCGGCGAGGCTGTCGAGGAAGACTGGCAACCGTTTGCAGGCGGTGTGTCGCGCAACGGCGCCGAGCTTGTCAAACCGTTTCCTATATCTACAAACTCTACTCCTGTGCTTTCATCTGTGCTCATGCTGCACCCATGGCCAAGGGGCACATCCACATGACCAAGAACCAGGCCAGCTGCCCGCACAGCATAAGCTGCCAGGATTCCGAGCGGACACATAGCGGTCCACTCAGCTATGCTTCGACCTCTCCAACGCAAAGCACTGAACTCATGACTTGCGCCATTCTCTCCGCGCCTTCTGCAATCGCACCCGATGAAGATTTCCAAACAACACCTGGGCATCCTACGCTTCTGAAGCCGAGTGCAAGCCACTGGCAAATTATCGTGCTATCATGTGCATCTTTGTACAGACTTTGGCTTCTTATAACATAGAGCCCAAACGTGTCAGTCAAGATTTGCCCGAACCGCTCGTCCTCCTAACCAAGTTCTTCCGAAGGATGCACTGCACCCCTAGGCTTCTAGGAAGTTCACATTCCCTGAACCTGAGCATCCTATTGACGACTTGCATACCTTGAAACTTCTTTAATTGACCTCTCGGCTTGCGTCTGTTTGCCCTGCGAGCCTGTCCGACAAAAAACTAGCTACTAGCCAGCAGCCTGCTGATGCCCCGAAACCTAGAATCCGTATTTGTCTGCTGCCTCGCGGCCGTTTGCTTCCGCGGTAGCAGTGTCCAGGATTGCTGGCGGATCCTCCCGGCAAGAACACGTAAGATTTATGGGTGTGATTCAGGACTCAGAAGTCGGGCACAACCCGAGGACAACCTGCCCTGTCCTCAAAGTCGCCCTGGAGCCAGGAGGCTGCAACTTCAGCATATGCAGTCACCTGTACCGAACACACGAAGTGCAGCCCGCCCCCGGCCACCGCCCCTATGCTCTGCTCTGCCCCGTCCTGCTCCAGCCAGAGGTCCCAGTTTAGCGAGGGATGCTGCAATCTGCTGCAAGATGACTCGTAGGCCAAGGCCGCTGGCTTTTGCAGGTCCGCCAGCAGCTTCAGTACCGGCCAGCGTGTCGCAAGCATCCGTTGCAGGTTTATTCCTCGGATGCAAAGCTTCGCCTCGGTCGCGTGGGCCTTGCAGAGGCAGGCGGCAGCCACCCCCAGCTCGCACTGCTCCTTCCCTCTCCTTACATCAGTCGAACACTTCGGAGTGTCAAAAGCAGAACCCCCATGCTGGCCAAACAGCCAAGAAAACTGAAGCTTCAAGGGCTCCAGTGTTCTCCACGGCTCAGCTCTTCCAACAGCTCGTCTGCTGCCCCGCAGCCACCGAGCAGTAGCTCGCGAAAGCTCGTCCAAGAAACCTCACGACTCGGGCCACACAATGCCACACGACTCGGAGTACAGCAGTGGACCTGAATATGGAAGCATTCCTGGATGCTTCGCCCAGCCACAGTGGTGCCGGGCAGGTTCGATGCCAGCTCGCAGTCGTCATCGTGGAATGCGGCCCGCTCAGCTTGCTCAGCTCGCTGGGCCCGATGCAAACATGGGCTCAGCAGGGCAAGTGCGGCGAGTGTCTGCAAGCGAAGGTCCAAGGGAGCCATTCGATCACCGAGCTGCGCCGAGCTGCGAGCCACCCAGGCACGGGCATGGACTAAACCCCAGTACTCAAAGGTCTTTTGTGCGGAATCGCCAAAGGAGGAGTGAATACAAGCTGATTTGCGAGGGACCTGAAACCTTGCTCAAACGGCGGATGAGCACTGCACAACGGCTCAACACAGCAGAAAGGGCCCAGTCAGTATTCCACCCACCTGCAAATGGCAGCGAGGGGGCCGTCGCCGTGTCAGGGCCGAAAGGCCACATGTACTCATGCACCGCAAGTTGGTCTGCGTAGTCGTCTTGAGCTAGGCTGGTCGCGGTTGCAGCTCTGTGCTGGACTTGCACCTACCTCTGGTGGACTCGATGCAATGCCATGACCTCGCTGTCATTTTAGAGAGCTTGGCTTGTCGGTCGAACTGGCCGTACTGCTCTGACTAATTAAGAGCACAGTGGCTGCGGTAAGTTCCAACTCGGCTCATTGCCCGAATTTACTGAAATAGATCCTGACTAGTGAAGCCAACCCGGTCCACAACCGGGACACATTCACAAATGTGCTTCTGGTGCCAACCATCGTTTTGATCCGACGCTCGTTCGAGCTCTTGCCGGGGGAGCTTGAAATGCTCTGACCTGAACAACATTTTGTAAGTGGAGCTCCGTACCAGCAACAGTCTACAAACCGAGGCCTTTTGCAAGGCAGCTGCTGCGCAAGTCTAGCATGGAGTTCGAATTCGCTGCGCGGCCTGTCGGATCTGATTTGATCAAACAATATCCATTCCCGGCGACTGGTGAATGCGAGCTGCATAGAGTCCTGTCAAGCTGCATCCTGCCCACCCCCCCCCACCCCCATACCCTCGGGGGCGCCTGCAGAAAGTTCTCAATTCTGGCTGCGATGCGGGCGAGCCTGTAGACCTCCAAGCGGAAGCGAGTGCAACGAAGAGGTCGTCCGCCCTTCGAAGCTTCGAGGCCCGGGCCCAAGAAGGGATGCGGCCTACACCTCAGAAACAGAGCAGAGAGCTCGCAAAAGGCGGTGCGCTTTCTGTGCTCCTGAGACTTCGCTGAGTTCTTGGCCGAGGCGCTGGCAAAAGTCGTCGGCAAAGTGACAACAATTCCTGGCGTCTTCTGACATCCGACAATGATCCAACATGCCGCAGGGGCCTTCGCAGCAAGTCATAGGCAGGGCCCGGATACCTCAGCTCTTGTCTATTGTCGATGCAGAGCGAATCATCAGCACGATTTTTCGGAATGCGCAGCAAGAGCATCGAAGGGACCTGCAGTTCCGCAAGGTCCGGCCTCAAGCCGAGGCCCTTCATGGCCCCTTGATCTTGCTGGCCTTTTTTCAGGCCAGCAACATGCACAAGCGCAAAACTGAGGTCTGGCACCTCACTTCGCAGGAATTTCCTATGCCAGCTCTGCCAGGCTACTATACGCTATGCTAGAACTACCAAGCTGAAGCAGAGACGCCGTGAAAGCGTGTTTTCCAGCGCAGCTTCCGAAAGGTCTTTGTGGGAACCACAGCGCCTGCTACAGAATCCATAGAATGTCCTAGAGCCCTAGGGACGGCTGCGCCAGAACTGTCCCACGACTTTGCCAGGCATCGAAAACTGGTGCTCTGCTGAACCTTGCAAGGTTCCAGAGTTGTGTAGAAGAAGCACTTCTGCACAGTGAGGCTATGCTATCTCACAACGCATGTGACTTCTCTACAGGGTGAGCTTCGTGCGCTCAGTATCGTCGGGAGTCGTCTTCAACTCCACCCCGGCATGCGCTGCTAAAGCAGACAAATGAGAACTGGGTCTGTCCAAGAGCTCTCGAGGCGGGCCACTTTCCACAACTTTCCCGCTGGACATGACAAGAATACGATCACAGCTCACAACCGTCTGCAAACGGTGTGCGACGGTAATCTGAGTCGACTGGCCGAACATGGTCGGGGATCGCAAAAACCGCTGAATGAGCCGGTCGGTGGCAGCATCGATGTTGGAAGTCGGCTCATCAAAGACACGTACTCTTGAAGGCCATAGTAAAGTTCGAGCCAGTGTGAGGAGCTGGCGTTCCCCTTGGCTGAGTGTTGATGCAGAGCTTGCTTGAGCCAGCAAGCTGGGCTCCAACTCCACTTTTTCCAGGACTTCAGCGAGCTTCTGGCTCGAATGCTCAGCGAAGGGGTCCAAATTCTCCTGCACAGTCCCTTCGATGAGGAGGGGTTCTTGTGGAACGACTGCGATGGCTTTGCGAAGCTTGCCGAGCCCGATTTTGGAGATGTCCACCCCATCGATCAAGATGCGACCCTCTGTTACTTCGTTGAGTCGCAGGAGGAGGACCATGAGCGTGCTCTTGCCAGCACCTGAGCGACCCACAACCCCCACCTTTTCTCCTGGCCGAAGCTCGAAGGAAATACCATCCACGGCTTTGGGGAGACCAGGTCTGTAGACCAAGGACACCTGAGCTCTGAAGCGACAGGGGATCTAGCGATGTTTGAGACATCGATGCAAGAAAGATGCCGCTTCGAAGGTCACACGGCCCGCCGCCGGCCACACTTCGGGGCTCCGGTCGCTGCTCAGCTGCCAGGGCGGCTCGGCCTGGGGTAAAGCCACAAGGGACGAAGGCTGCGACACAGAGAACTCAGGCTCGGGCTGGGAGCATACCCTGGTCGCCGTACTGGAGGAGCCGCTCCAGGCCTGTGCAAGAGCGGCCAAAAAGGTCTCCGTCTCTAGCTTGGTCCTAGTGCTTACCACTGTGCTTACCTGTGAGAGCTGTGAGCAGCAGCTGGACTGTCATGGACAGGAAGTTCAAGAAGTATGGCATCAGGAAGCTATAGGTCAGTGCAAGCGCGCAGAAGCTTGGCGGGTACTGGTCCCTGTTGACAATGACCACGGCCGACGTAGAGCTGGCCGTCAGAAAACAAATGAGGAAGGCAAACACGCCACCCGCATTCACAGACCCCAGAGCTGAGAAGCTGAAGCGATGGTAGTCGTCCAAGTTCGCGCAAAGCCGCTTCTCAAAGAAGTCTCTGGCATCCATGGTGCGGATAACTTGCCGTCCGTTCACGCACTCGTTTACAGTGGTAAGGACGGGTCCCATGGCTGCATTAGCATACCGGCGCAGTTCGCGGTTGGTGCGGTAGATAACGATAATTTGCAGTACGAAAAGGCAGGCAGCAGTAACCACGACAGGCAACATCAGATTGACCAGGACCACAACCTGGACGAAAAGCATCAACGTTGTGGCCGACAGCTGCCATGCATTATCGATCCATTTTGGTATCTCTTTGTCCACAATGGCGATATCGTTCGAGAATCTGGACATGATCCTGCCCGAAGGAGTGGCATCAAAGAAGTGGACTGGGGCATGGAGCAAGTTGTTCAAGCACTCACTGTGCAAATGACGCGAGCTTCGCACGCCGCCCTCACCGAAGCAGTACGATGTCAGGCACATCAGAACGACAAACATTGCCGCTGCAATCCCGTAGACCGCAACGTACAAGTCGTCATTCGACACCTTGCCCTCAGTCCAGTAAGCTTCTCTTGCCTCCACCCAGAGCGCAAGCCAGTAGTCGACAAAGCCCAAGGTGCAGTAGGCTAGGAGGACCAAGAAGTTGCAAAGCCTGACAGCCAGCCATTACACATCATTACACCATTAGAACCGGCTTTACTATGCCAGGGTAGATCCCCACACAATTATGACGACCAGGACAACCGCGGCGACAGCCACCACCATGTCCACCAGCCCACCATGAGGAACGACCACCCGGAGACCTCCAGGAGAGCGCTTTCCCCCAAGCACTTGCGGATTCAGGAGCACGGCCTTTTTCCAGGTAGTGGCGGGATTCAAAGTTTTCGATGCCAAATGGTGGCTCATGCAATGAAATTTACAATGCATCTGGCCATCCGCCCAGCGGACTGTGTGTAAATAATCGGACGTGATCGCAAACAAAGCGCCGCGTGCCCACATTGACCATTCTCTTCACTCTGACGTAACGTCCAATAGCTTGTACAACTGTTTGGGGAATAACACTGACAAGCCAAGACTAATTTGCGGCTGGTTTGAGTGAAAGAAGGCAGACGACAGACGATGCTGCAGCGGGATCAAGTCCAGTGCCTAAAAAAGGAAAACGACTAAGCATCTCTCCAAAAAGCCCGAACCACGCGAAGCCCATGCCACTGACATAGCGGACCAGAACTCGCAAAGGCACGCCACCTGCCAGCTTTTCTTCTGCCTTGACCAGCTCTGTGACACCTTCCACAGGTTTGCCCTGCTCCATCTTGCCAGGTTTTTGCCTATCCATTGCCAGCGGTTCCTCTGGTTCACCCACTCTAGACAGCATCGAAGGAATGTCACAGCCGGACTCCAAACAGAAAGACTTCAAAGGCCCGTCTGATCGAAGCAGCTCCTGAGGCGTGCCTCTTTGCACAACCTGTCCTCCTGCGACCATGAGAACATGGTCAAAATGTGTCAGCAGCCATGGCTGATTCAGCACGACGAGGCACGAATGGCACCCACTACTAGCAGTGACGCATCTCTTCAGAGACAGGAAGACCTCGTCTGCCACAATCGGGTCCAATGCCGAGATTGGATCATCTGCGATTACAAGATCGGCCCGGCGATAAAGTGCTCGGGCAATCGAGAGCCGCTGCTGCTGTCCTCCTGAAAGCACCACCCCGCGCTCCCCGACCTCAGTGAATTCCTGCTTGGGCATCCGGGTGAGATCCTCGGAAAGCGATGCTGCAGCTAGAGCCGCCTGAAAATCCACTTCGTTTGGGTCCTCTTCCGCAAAGGCGATATTCTCCTTGATGGTGCCGCTTAGCACAAAAGCCTTTTGAGGTATGAAGGCCAGTCGTCGACCTCTGAGCTCGACAAGGCCATCACTGCTCGGGGGCATTTCGCCCAGTAAAGCTGCAACTAGCGAGCTCTTTCCACTGCCAACACTGCCAACAACTGCGGTGAAGCAGCCGCGAGGAACCTCGACATCATCGACAAGCAGTTCAGCGCCCGGCGTCATCGCACTTTTTACGGACCGTGTGGAGGCCGAGCGCTCCGGCGCATGCTCTGGGGAGTCGACACCAGGATGCTTTTCAGGCCAGCGGAAAGATGCACTCTTTACTCTTATGCAGGGACCAGAATCCTTCTGCGTCACGTGGCGTAGAGCCTCAGGTGTAACCAAGAAATCTTGAAGGCGCCGGACTGCTACGCGTGTCGTCGCAATGTAGATGAGCCCCTCAGGTATGGCAATCAAGCCCGACCGAAGTGCCAGAAACACGTTCAATGCTGCAAAAATATCCGAAGGCCTGAAAGACTCCGGGTCATTCCGTGCGGATATGGCCAACAGTAGGAAGGCAAACAAACAGCCCACAATAGGATTCGCGCGACCGATCTGCACGGTGCTTTGCGTCAGGACTCGATACCACTTCAGCGGAATGCATTCCAGCGCTCTCTCCTTGGAAAGGATCGTCTTGAAACTGTCCTCCCACGCACAGAACTTGATAGCACGGATGCCTTGGACAATCTGAGTCATAATGCGCATACGTACATCGGTCTTGGCCAAGTTCTCCTTCTCCGCCTTCTTCGCCAGCTGTGAAATTCTTGTGTTTAGGAACAACATGCCGATCATGCAGGTAAGGCCAACAATACCAGCCACGCCCAGTGTGTAAACCAAGATGGCGATGCCTCCAATGAGAGACACGGAAGCACCGGGCACCAAAGACAGAGTAAAGAGATTCTGCTGAAAGCGCACGGCATCGTTGCCGACCAAATTCCCGATGTCTGGAGCATCTTGCGCCCGGGCATGACATGTCGCCACTCTCAGGGAGTGCACATGTGCCAAGCCTGCAAAGGTTGCATTGAAGCGGACGCCAATGCGGCCCATGATGATGTGTCGAGTGAATGATAAAGTCACACCCTCAAACATCAATGCCAAACTGAGGGCGGCAGCCAACAGCGAGAGCTTCCACGTGTCTGAGTCGGTGGCCAGGCCGTTCACGAGAGCTTGCAGAAGCAATGGGCGTGCCACAGTCGTCACACATCCACTGGCGCACCCAAACAGCGAGCCAATGACGACATCTTTACGGCAAACCTTCCAGAACACGCGCTCAAGGTTAGGTTGTTGTCCCAGCCGAAGGGCACGTTCCTTCTCTGCTTGCCAGAAGTCTTGCGCTTGTGACACAATCTGTGCCGCTCTGAGGTCTGCAGGCACTGCTGGTACCTCCTCGGGTCGCAACGGCCTTCTCAGGCTCTTGAGTATTAGGGGAAAAGTCCACGCGAGGGAGAGGTCCGCACACCAGGTACGGCCATGGCCATCATTGGACTTCATGGTTCAAGCAAGCAGCTTATGCAGCTTCATGAAAGATAAAGGTACTTGAGTGAAACACACTACCCTTCCAGGATTCCATGCTGTCTGGGAATGGAAAACTATGGTCGTGTACACGATTCATGCATGGCAATGGTGTTGGTAGCCAAGCTTCACCGAGAAACTGGCTTGCAGGCTGAATTGGGTCTATATCTTCTTGAGTGTTTGCTGGACAAAACGATAGCGACGGCATCCACAACGACAAACGCTGTAGGGCAAGCGCTCTTGTGAGAGCTGCTTCGTCATCTCCTCGATTTGCATGGCCTTGTCTTGCCGGGTGACAAGACATATTGATTCGATCCTCTGAAAATCGCGATGCTGGTCGAAGCGAAAGCCCAAGACTCACAAGAATCATGAAGGAATCATGAATCGAGAGAGAGAGAGAGAGAGAGAGAGAGAGAGATCAGGGCCCCACCGAGAGATGTGTGCAGGGCATCACCACAGTTTGCCTCCCCAGCACAACTGGAATCGACCAGCGAAACCAAGTCTAAGGCGTTTGGCAGGGTTGGATCAGTTGGGTGCCACCATGTCTTTTTCGCGCATGCTGCATGGATCGGCACAAATTCCTGAGCCGTCGTGAAGCGGCTCCAAAGTGCCTGTAGTGGTGGTTTGGGTGCATCTTGGGCTTGTTCTGATTGACACCCGGCTCCTCCTTCAAGACAGGATGCAGTCGGGAGGGCCTTTTCAGCTTTCGTTGCAACCCCTTCGATAGGGAGGTAGGGGGGGGCGGGGGGTGGGGGGTGGGTTATGAATTTGGCGAACAACAACCCCCCCCCCACCCCAAAAGAGGGGGGAAGGGGGTTGTTATTGAGGAACAACAACAGGGGGCAACAACAACAACAGCAGCAACAGCAACAGCAAACAGCAAACAGCTAACAGCTCACAACAGCAACAACAACAACAACAGCAGCAGCAACAGCAAACAGCAACCAGCAACCAGCAACCAGCTACCAGCCAGCAACAAGCAACAAGCAACCAGCAACCAGCAACCAGCAACCAGCAACCAACAACCAACAACCGACAACCAACAACCAACAAGCAACAAGCAACAAGCAACAACCAACAACAAAAAAAAAAGAAAACACCACCACCACCACCACCACCAACAACAACAACAAGCAACAAGCAACAAGCAACAACCAAATCAGCAACAACAAAAAAACAACAACAAAAAAACAACAAAAAAAAAACACCAACACCAACGCCAACACCCACAACACCACCAACAACACCAACAACACCAACGACAACAACAACAACAACAACAACAACAATTTGCAATTGGACGCGGTGCGAGCGGGCTCAGCACGTGGCGGGCAGTTGCCGCACTGGCACTCTCAATGACTAAGTGTCTACAGTGAAACCTTGCTAGTCAAGACATCATGACAAAGATCCGTGTTGAAGCAAAGAAGAGGTTACTACAGTACAGAAGTGTGGCCGCTCACTGCTATACAAC